CAACAGTTTCTAGTTTTACAGAAGTGCACAGGAGCTTACTGAGCGCGCTCCTCCCCCTTCCGCAAGTTTAAGTGCGGAAATTCTATTAACAACACAGTAACAGAAACAAGAGTGGGGTAAAGTGCAGTACAACACAAATGAAACAAGTTAACGTAGTAGGGGCAAACTTAAAGCAGTAAGCAATGAGCCGGGAAAATGACACAATTCTAGCAAATCTGAAGCCTAGTTACTCCTCCTCCTCTCTGGTGGATGACGCGCCACTGTTGACTGGTTCCGGCGGGACCATAGCACCCTAGGTATTCTGTAATCATTTTTACCACTATTTCCTATCACTTTTCATTCTGCATTACTACTTATTTAGTTATTTGAAAGGATGGTGTCAACGAAACAACTGCGTACCGTTCGCGAGGTTGGTGAACAATCAGGGATTCCATATGATGAACACATTACTGACGTCGAATTATCCGCATCCTTGATAGTTTCCCGTATTCTCGAGAGATGCTCGTTTACATCCCGTTGTGGTAACTTTGACAGCAGAATCAGCTTCGAGCGCAGAGCAGCAACATCCTGTAAATATTCTAAAGGATGTTCCAGTCGTTCTGTGCTTTGCGAGTTTGTCAGGTGGAACTTCCATTCAAGACATTCCATACTCCGCCCTGGCTGCCGCACGGTCAGCCATTCACATCGCAACGTTCAGACTTCGCGACGGCAGCGCTTCGGTCGCGCGTTCGACGCGATCGATGCAGTCGAAAGTATGCGCATCGATCGCGCTGAACGCGCAACCGAAACGCTACCGTCGCGAAGCGAAGTCTGAACGCGGCCTAACCATAGCCTGACGCGCTACTCGTCTGCACCCTCTCACTCTGGTTGTTCTTTGCCGTTGAGTGCGTGCTTCGCTGCGGGATCTCGATATTGACGCAAGTGGTGCACGCACCTTGAGAACAGCGCGGCTGATAACGGAAACGGCATTCCCGTACCAGATTCCTGGAGCAACGTTCCCGTGCACCGCCTCGCACATGGTAACCAGCGTCCCCGGAGGCCAGAGTTCTACACAACTTCGAAAGCAGTTTTGGACGAGTTTCCCGCTAGCATCGTGCCAATACTGCTATGGTAGGTAGCTGCATGCAGGTACTCGTATGATTACGCAGAACCGCAGCCGCTTCATATCAGTTCTTTCACTTCATATTGTACTTCGCAAATGAAGCACTACAAGCATCAAGGTACGGCCGTCCATTTGTGGGTGGGCGGGTGAGCGTCTGTTTCGGTATGTTGCAGCTTGATGGAGCGCTTTAACGGTACCCTCCTTGAGAAAGGACCAGCACCTGCTCGCTGTCCAGCTAAGCACATTGATCCTTCACGTCTTGGGAATTCATCGTGCCAACAGCCTTCACGGTGGCTTAATCCCTTTAGCTGAATGTGTTAGACAACGCTCTCCCTCAACTTGAAACCTGCTGTGATTTGAGTGAAGAAATGGCGGATTCTACACAAACATGTAAAGCTCACCGCATCGAAGTGGTCTAGTAAATCCCAATTTGACTGCAGTAGATTTATATCTGTTTCCACCGAAATATCCACATCTGGTTCCAGAGGAAGCAACGGAGCAGGATCGGCTTCATGGCAAGTGTTCATTACGTCGAAAAGGGTTCCGTGTCCGCAATGGGTTCTGCAGTACTGCACTTCTAACGTGTTTCCACGTTCGATAACCTACGAGCAGTAGAGTGAAAAAGAGCTGGAACTCTGGAAAGCCTTTCATACCTCCATGAAAGCAGTACAACATGAGACAATCTTCTTTGATCTTGGTCGTTTTGCAACATATTTCGGCGTCGGTAAAGCCTTGTCACAGCGAAAACGCTTTACTTTCCTGCTGACAAAAGACTTCGAACTTGCTATCACCCATCTTATTCCATACTTTTTTTCTGTTTTTAGCCGCCATTCCTGTAAACGCTAAAGCTAAAGTAGTACAATAATTCTATAAAAATCATTGGGAAACTGACACACCTCGAACGAATTCCTATCGTGAAATACGACCTTTTCCACTTTATACTCATCAGGATTTCCGGAATGTGCGAGAACAACATGTTCCACAAGATTACGGTGGATCTACAAGATACTGTTAAGAAAAATTATTAAGAAAAACCTTCTATACTGCTTATAATAAACAAACAATTCAGCACGTTCAAATTGCAGTGGCCATGCCAGGGTGTTGGATATGAAGTGCACGCCGCTCGCGTTTCGAGTCCAAAGTTGGTCGAGTGAGTCGTTACGTCCACCATGCAGCAAGGTAAATGGCGTGTTGCAATGGTGTCACCCAGGACCCCTAGTGGGCGTGGAGCGTTAGGTACATTGGTACGAGTCGCTGGAGCATTTACCATATAGCCTACTTCGCGGCGGATGAAGGGGCGTGCCAGCTTGGATGAGTTTGGCTCAGATCCAGAGCCGTTCTCCTCCAACTGTTGAAGCGAGC